TGCTGGAAATCCTCTGCCATCTGCTGGTACTAATTACCAGAGCAAAGTCCGGGGGTCGAAGCGATTGCCTTTAATACAGGGTAGGAGAAAATAGGCGCCTTTGAAGTGCATAAGCCCCTGCCTAGGAGAAACGTTACCTATTTTGGTCTAGTGACAGATACCGCAGTCCTCTGCGTATCCTCTGGCTTCTGAGCAGGTGGAGAGCGCAGGCTTTGGGCAGCGTAGCTCTGGGCCAGGGATTTGTACGGTGACCAAAGCAGCTGCGTGCATCAAACACCTCTGCGCGAGTCCTGATGGACCGGCAAAACTCTGCTTTCGCCGCCTCCTTCCCCCGGAGGAGAGCGCACATCCGCACGCACAACTGCAACTCGCAGAGCCTGGAGCGGTCGAGCCGACACGCTCTGTAAAGGGGTAACAAACCGAAGCCACCTTTTTGTTACCTTTTGTCTGCTTACTCAGAGAAGCCTCACCCGCACTTTAACGCCAACAAGGAAGTGGGGTGCAATTAACCAGAAAGATTTTACCTGCTCAGCCAGGATTCGAGCTTTGTCAGGGAAATCCTGCTGCCGCACCCCAGCGGGTTTGTAGTTTTGGACTTTGCTACTCGGCTGAATCTCCTTGAAACGTCTTAACCCCACAGGCACTGCTGACAGGAGAATCGCATTTCACAGAATCCAAGCATGGTCAGGGTTGGCAGGGACCTCTGTGGGTCCCCCAGAGCAGGCTGCACAGCACCACATCCAGCCGGGTCCTGAATATCTCCAGAGAAGGAGACTCCACAGCCTCCCTGGGCAGCCTGGGCCAGGGCTCCGTCACCCTCAGAGGGAAGAAGTTCTTCCTCATGTTCAGATGGAGCTTCCTCTGCTCCAGTTTGTGCCCGTTGCCCCTTGTCCTGTTGCTGGGCACCACTGAAAAGAGCTTGGCCCCATCCTCCTGACACCCACCCTGCAGATATTTATCTCCGCTGGACTCTCTCCAGTAGCTCCTCATCTTTGAGCTGACTCTGTCCTGCCTGCTTCATGTTGCAGACCACTTTGGGGGTTCGGAGCCCCTTCATGGTGTCCAAGATAAACCAGGCTAAGAGTCTGGATTTTTTGTTCTTCCTTTCCCTGCTCGATAAAGGACTCTCAGCCTGCTGGCCTACCTGCATTTCCTAACCACTTTGTTCAGTCTTTTAAAGATTATTCCTACAGACCACGCTTCGTCTCCACTCATAGATTATTGCCAGTACGATAGCTATTACAAAGGAAGAAGAAAACCCGGGCTGAGACGCACAGTCTTGCCCAGTAACAAGAGTGGGTAACCAGTAACTGCTGTGGGTAGAACAGACTCGTGAGGAAGAAAAGCCAGTTCGTTTCCAAGGCATGGAATGGCTTAGAGCACCAAGCTGGTCCGAGCCCTCTCCACTCCCCAGCAGGCACAGACGCATAGTCTTGCCCAGTAACAAGAGTGGGTGACCAGTAACTACTGTGGGTAGAACAGACTCGTGAGGAAGAAAAGCCAGTTCGTTTCCAAGGCATGGAATGGCTTAGAGCACCAAGCTGGTCCGAGCCCTCTCCACTCCCCAGCAGGCAGCAGAGGAACTTTACGACAGACGGGTGTTTTTCCAAACTCGGGAAACGTCTGGGCCAAGAAACCAGGATTTCCTTTCAATCAGCTCAGAGCATTCGATCAGCGGTATTTGATGTAACGTAACTGTTTTGGAGCCAAGGACTGTTCTCAAGTGATCGCCAAAGCTATTTGTATTTTTCTGCTCTGCACCTTACTGCGGCTCTTTCGTTTTTCCTTCCCACCGTTTATCTTTCACACCACCGAGCCTTGCCTGTGCTTCCTGTTTGGCTGCGTGGTCTGTAGTTTTCTCATTTGCTGTTATTTTTGACTTCCATCCAAGCTTTGTATGATATTAATAGCTATTTTACAGAACCGTAATCTTCCTCCAACCAGTCCTAATATTAGCAGGAGAAAGAGCCAAGAACGACTGCCGAGGCCTGAGGGATTTGAGCTCTAAATTTCTCCTCCGTTCTGCCAGCCCAGCTCAGCCCCTGCCCCAGGGAGCCAAAAGATTCAAGGTCAGGTTGGACGGGGCTCTGAGCAACCTGATTTGGCTGAAGATGTCCCTGCTCACTGCAGGGGATCACCTTTAAATCACTGGATCACCTTTAAAGGTCCCTTCCAACCCAAACCCAAAGCATTCTATGATTGTAAAACATCTGTTCGTCACCCACCTCCCACAGCCCCATCCTGGCCACGACAGGCCAGGGAGAAGCAGCTGGTGCAAGCCAAAGGACACAGAAAGGAGACGCTTACATGAAGGTTCAAGAATTGAAACTCATTGGCAGTCTAATTAACGCCTCAGTCTAATCAAGACATAGCAACCTCTCACCATTCATCCAGCTACAGCAGTGCTAACAACTAGTACCCAGATTACTCATTTTCTGTTAAAGCTTATAATAGACAAAAAAATAAACACAGCAGACAAAAGTATTACCCCATTCCTCTAATGATAAATTCGCCCTACTTCCCTGCATTGCTGCTGCAGCAGCTCATCAGCACCCTGAGGGAAGAAGAGGATGTTGATAGGGTTTTTCCTTCTTCTTTGCTGAGAAGAATAAGAAAAGGTTAATGGTTTTTTCCTCCCTGGTTTAGGGTCTACTTGGGGATATTTTATTTTTATTATTTATTTTCTACTTCTCTCTATACTTGAATCTTTCTTCACAGAACTACAATTACAGAATCCCACCACAGCAGGGGCTGGAAGGGACCCCTGGGGATCACCCAGTCCAACCCCCTGCCAAAGCAGGGTCACCCAGAGCAGGCTGCACAGGACATTGTCCATCCAGGTCTTGAATATCTCCAGAGAAGGAGACTCCACAGCCTCCCTGGGCAGCCTGGGCCAGGGCTCCGTCACCCTCAGAGGGAAGAAGTTCTTCCTCGGGTTCAGCTGGAGCTTCCTCTGCTCCAGTTTGTGCCCGGTGCCCCTTGTCCTGTCGCTGGGCAC